TTTTTTTTATAACTAAAATACCCTTATATAATCACATTAATATTTATAATCACTATCACATTTTTATAATATATTAAAATATAATTATTTAAATATTTTCCCCGTGTATAATCACATTACAAATAGAGTTTGGAACGGTTTTATTTTCATAAGTTAAAACTGGTTTATTCTGAACTCTAATTACAAATACGAATTATAGTTATTGAAGTTATTACTCAAATAAAACATGATTACTATACAAGCAAAGACTTCTTTTTACTTTTCATTACCTGTTCGCTAATAATCATACAAGCACAAAGACTTATTACTTTTCATTACCTGTTCGCTAATACTCACAATATTAAACAATTATATGCAATCACAAAACAAAATCAGAAATAATCTACACCTAATAAAATCCATATCCGGAATTTATTTAAACAGTCCATAAAAGGCTAAATGACAAAAAGAACATGTAACCATAAAGTCATTTGATATTGCAATAATGATTGCTTCGTCACTTCGTTGACAAGCTTCTTAATTAATCTAAAACCTGATAATAGGTTTCTCTTGGCAGCATTTACATATTGTTTCTAATTCAAATTAATTCTGTAATTAATTAACATAATTATTACTACTACTCTTATTAACGTTAATATAAAGGTATTATTTAACTCAGAACTGATATACTATATGCAGGATGTATAAATCTCTAATTTGTGTTTGAAACCGCTAAACTAAAAAAAAATAAATGATTAAATCTATAGCCATGCTTAAATTTTAAATACAAAAAAAGTTAATAATAGCAAAACAAATGAGATCATGCAGTTAGATATGAAATTCGAACAAGTAATCTTTAAATTTACGCCAAAAGGTCAAAAGATAATTAGTATGAGAAAATTCAATTGAAAAAAAATGAAACAATCGTTAATATCTCTTTTTTATAGTCTAAGCTTTTATATAGTAAATAGATAAGTAAATGTTTCTATAAAAGTTACTAAAAAAAATTTTAAATTAACCAAAATCGGTTTTAATTTAATCTTTAAAAACGTCTAATTCTTCCTTCAAAAAGTTATTAAGTAAAGCCCTAGGACCATCTAAATTTCTGTCTTTAGCATCATCTTTTTTACCTTAAAATTGTCTTTTATTTTAAATATCATTCTCAAAATAATGTCTTTAGAATCACCTTCTAAAAAAACAAGAACAGCTATTAATGACAAGCTGAAATATGAAATTTGTGCTTATAATAATAAAAATCCTAACCGTACGCATAAGGAGATTGCAGAATATTTTCAAGAAAACTTTCAAATTAATCTTGATCGTACAACAATCAGTAAAATTTTAAAAGAAAAACAAAAATGGTTAGCAGTAACTGATGATGCTGGTAGTGCGAATATTTATCGTCACCGACAAGTTAGACATCCATTATTAGATCAAGCGATGCAATTATGGATCGAACAAGTTACTAGTAAAGGATTATTTTTGTCAGAATTAATTATAAAAGAAAAGGCTAAATTTTTTGCGCAAAATTTGGGTATAGATAATGAATCACTTAAATTTTCTAATGGCTGGATTCATCGGTTTAAAAAACGAAATCAGCTACAAAGTTATCATCTACATGGTGAAGCAGATTCTGCTCCTTTGGAAAATTTAGCTGATCAGCGAATTTCACTGCGTAATATTATTGAAGAATATACTCTTGATAATGTGTTCAATGCAGACGAAACTGGGCTTTTTTTTCGAATGGCACCTAACCAAACTCTTGCAACAAAATCACGTTCAGGCTGGAAGAAGGTAAATAAAGTAAAGAGGTATTTTGGCAATATATTATAGTTATTGTATAGTATGTAGTGAATAACCGTGGCTTTCGGCCATAGTTATTCATATACCTATACAATAACTGCATTATTGCATAGTAACTGATGTACAATCCCGTGCAATAACCAAGTGAAAAAAGCACGGGTTCTTATATAAACCCATACAATAATGTGGATAATTTTATAATGTATATGCTAATAATTATAGTATTCTTGTTAAGAGTTATATTAATTTGTCATTTGCCACTTTACTTTTCTCTATCTTATTTATTTTAAATAAATTATTAATACAATATTAAAAATTTTAGGATAAAACAAGAGTTTCTATAATGCTAGCATGTAATGCAATTGGAACACAAAAGCTAAAGCCTCTTGTAATCGGATCCTCAATCCAACCCCGTGCACTTACTAATATTAATTATGATACCTTGCCAGTTATTTATAGAGCCAATTCTCGTGCATGGATGCGGTGTGATATCTTTGGAGATTGGCTAAAAATATTAGATCGTCAATTCCGTCTTCAAAACAGACATATTTTACTTTTAGTCGATAATGCATCTAGCCATTATGACCCTAATAGTATTTTACCATCTTCCGATTCTAATATAGATGGCTATGAAGAAGAAACTGAATTAATTAGAACTGCATCGACATCTAAAACTAAGAGTAAAAAAGTTCCTAATTTACAGCAAAATGAAAGTCAAGCTCGTAATGGCCGAGGTCGTCCATATACAATTCCTGATCTAACTAATCTTCGGTTAACTAACATCAAAATTCACTTTTTTCCACCTAATACTACCGCACATCTCCAACCTATGGATGCGGGAGTAATTAAATGTTTCAAATCAAAGTATAAACATAAATATATTCAACATCTTCTTACTCAGTTTGAACAAGGTGAAGATATAAAAGAGTAAGTATTTGCAATAGTTATATTTTGAAAAATTGAGTATAAGTGAAAATTTATTAAGAAAATATAACTAATATACAAGCTATTTATGTAGCTAATATATTGGTTATATTTTTTAAATAAATTTTCGCTTATGCCTACACAGGTCGAAATAAGGCAAATTGGGTTTAGATTAGCATCACAAGATCCTGATATAAACCCTATTTGAAACAGATACGTATTTGGCACAGATAAGATTCATATTTGCATTCAAGACATATTGGAAAACTGATAGCTCAATAGAAAATCATATCTTGTTTGCGCCAAATATCTGTTTCAAATCGGGTTCATATCAGGATCTTGTGATGCTGAATTGAACCCGATTTGTCTTAAAATGTAACTATAGTATATGAATATTGTCACACATATTTTATTATTTAATTACAAAATTTTAGAAAAAAAGTTACTATCAAAGACGCAATTTATTATATAGCAGAGTCATGGAATGAAGTTAGTGAAACTACAATTATGAATTGTTGGAAAAAAACTGGGATCTTGCCTTCTGTTAACTATGATGAAATTCAGTATGCAAGAAGTTCTTATGATACTTTTATTAAACAAGAAGAAGATAATATTGAATCATCATTTGCAGAATTAGACTTAACAGTTCAGCCTCATGTTAACAAATATCTCGAACTTAATAATACACGAATTTCTACTGAAGAAGTATTGGATGATACTGAAATCGTTGAATTAGTATTAGCAGAACAGCAACAAAAAGAACAAGATTCTGATGATTCAGATGAAGAACCTTTAAAAATTCCGGTTTCAGAAGGACTAGCGGGTCTAAAAAAATTTGTGGAGTTTTTTGAGCAACAAATGGATCAAAATTTTAAATCAGAAGATCTAAATATTTTTCGAAAATACTTAGCTATAATGAGACGTAAAGATGTAGAATCAAAAAAGCAGAGTTTTATTATGGATTATTTTATACCAGCAGAAGAAAATTGAAAGAATTGTTACTATATTTTAGTAAGTTAGCTCAGTTTGTATTTATTATCTTCGATATGATTTTTTGTTTGCTTGTTAATCTAATTCAAGCAGTTCATATTATTTATGCTTAGTAAGTTAACTCTTATTATATAATTCGATTACTAATGCTAGTAATTTGCTTAAATATATATGGACCTTATTTTATTCACTTTCTGTGTAAATAGTTCTTTATATCGGTAAGTTAACTCTATTAGTACTTAATATTAATAATAGTCTAAAGTACAAGTAAAACTTATACTTTTATTTACCTTATAGTTGGCTCGGGTTGCAAGTTGTTAAAGTTTAGCGAGTTTTTTTTCTTTATATGATTTATTCATTTTATTCATTTTGTAATTATTGTTAAACTCAGGTTTAATAATTATATTAGTAGTTTTTACATTTTCAATACGCAAATAAATCTTAATGGTTATACGTATAAATATAATATCTAAAGTTATGCATATGTTTCATATAATTTTAGTTAGTTATACTGGACACTTTTTAATATGTATAAAGATTAGTTTAAGTATTAGTTTCTTGTATATTTTAGGCTAATCTGGTAATCGGTATTAATTAAATAAGTAGCTGCGCAACACTGTCGCGCTAACCAATACAGAATAGTTAGTTTTGAATTCAGATTAATAAATATCGGGTATAAAACTAAATACCGCATAACTATAATGATATGAGACACTATAATTTAAACAAACAAAAAATTCCATAAGATTTTTAGATATATGTAGTATAGAGTGTAAAATATCTTTAAAAAACATATAATAATCCACTACAATTTTCCAATGCTAACCTTAATACTGTAATACATAACGCCGGAACAGATATTAAAAATAGGGATCCGTTCATAATAATCTGCGTAATTTAGAAATTGACAGATGACAATTATATAGACTAACACAAGTTGAACCAATGAATATCGGTGCATGCCGGGAGACAAGTTTCCTGATATGTACCTGATACAGTAATCTTACTCTTAGCACTCTGGGCCTAAAAGTAAAATATCAGGATATCCCAATATTTTGCTATGTTATTGATATCGATCTACCTCCTGATATCTTATCAATATGCTGCCAAAATGCTGCTGATATTCAGCAAGTATTTGGTATATCTACATATCAGGAGACTTGTCTTCCAGTATGCATTCGATATTCATTGATTCAACCTGTGTAATGTGGATAAGAAACTAAATGAGATGTGAACAGCTCATATTAAATACTTAGGCCAATTAGACCAATGAATAATCACTAAGATTGCTCAATGTGATTAGATAGCTACAAGATCATTCATAAGTATTACACAATGATTAATTGAAGCGATCCCTACTCTAATTTTGCTGAAGTCTAACAAAAAAAAAAAAAGGCTTCAAACTTTTTTCTATCGCAATAATGAACCTACTTACTGGTTAAACTACTTTCCACCAATTAAAAATTGGTGCTTAAGAGAACCTTAAATCATATGAATAAAATTGGAGCGAGAAATTAATTAATGCTATGATTTAATCTGACAAGAACGACAGGAAGCCGAAGTGGAGAAAATAACCGAAATCCAGCACAACCAAGCAACCGACAAAGTGGCTGAACTAGAACAACAACTTAATCTCGAGAAAGGAGGAGGTAAATAATATGGATGGATGTTGTCCGACTCCGAAATTAAACAGCAAATTCTTCAAGCCAGCGATTCAGTTGCAGCTGATGCAGCTCATCGGCTTTGGTTGGCTTGGCCCCACTGAGCAGCTAAAACCGGCTTCAGAATAAGCTGTTAACGGTTCAGTCAGTAAATCCGGATTTGTTAGTTCTATTCTGAAGGACATTAATAAAAAATAAAGCATTGATTGTCATTAACTTCAATTGAGACAAAAACCTGTTAAAGTAATAAAAATATAAGTTGAACGTTCGCTATGGTTAAACAAATCTCATACTATATTGAAATGCATAGTTATCGTTATAGATTAAATTCAAGACTTTTGCGCAAAAATCCACATTTAGTTAGTGAATTCTGAAAGACAATAATTTGTTAAACAACAAGCGCATTTTTATAAATGATCGTCATGCACTTTAATCAAAACAAAAAACCTGTTAAAGATACGTTCGTATGGTAACAAATCTCATACAAGTTATAAATATGGTAGTATGTGATGCATTTCGTGATGTTTAAGCACAAATATTCCCGTTTTTACCACATTTAGCATATTGCCCAATAAGATATGAGATTTTGCGAACGTACGTACGTACGTACGTACATCATTAAAAATGCCATATAACCATACACTTCGTGAAATTTTCAATATCACTCCGTTCCTGGTATAAACAATTTGATTGGCTATATATCATATGATCAGACACGTGATCTGCCACGATTAGAAAATCAAAACCCCTATGTAATCACACCTCTCTATAATCACCAAATTCCCAAGTAACGAAATGTGT